TTTTTTTTTTTTTTTTTTTTTTTTAGGTAAAAACCCACTCCTACTTCCCTACCTCCTCTGCTTCTGGGGTTGACAGGGCAGCAGCCATCCACGACAGAGGCTCCTACAACTCTGTGGCAGTGGACTCAGGGATGTGTCTGTTCCACATCGGCTTCCACTAGCCAGAAAGCTCGGGGGCAGAGCGCAGTCTTTAAGTCCGTCAGGGAAGCTCAGGTGACAGAGAGTCTCTGGTCACCCAGTTCGCTAGAATCGGCCCTCTGTGCTCGTGTGCAGAGATAAACACAGCGCAGAGGGCCCTCCACAGCCCTTTGTGCTCTTTGGCTTTCTGAGATCTGTCATTTTCTTTGCTTAATTTAAGAGCAAGAGCTACATCTGTGCCAGGGTGTGGAGGTGGCAGACAGACCAACCCCCAGGACAAAGAAGGCAAATGTTTCTAGAAGGTTGGCTGAGATCTTTACTGTGTTACCAGGACAAGACTCAAAAGCCAAAAGGACTGGTGGAGTGTCCTGGGGTACTGCTCCAGGGCTAGGATGAAGCTTGGTGACTCGGGGTTGGGGGAACAGATACAGTTCAAGCCAAGGTCAGTAATGAGGTGTGGGCACAGTGGGAGCAGAAACAGTGGGTCCTGCTCCACTCTCTGGCTGCCAGAGTCTCCCCATCACGGGGGCACATGCCAGGCAGCCCTGGAAGCTGCAGGGTTATGTGGTCACCCCAGTTTGTTCTCCCACACTCTCAAGACAACTTTCATTCGGGGGTCCATTTGGCTTCCCTTTCCCCGCCTCTCATTCCTGCCCACCAGACAGACACTCCCTGGGTATCTAGGTGTGGGAGGGAGATGAGGTGGCTTAGCAGTAAGAGAGACAAATGCACACAGAGACCAGAAGGATGGATACCAAGCCATAAGCTCTGGAACACGCCTGAGAAAGCTCTCAAAGGAGGTGACATAGCCGAGCATGGAAAGGCCACCAGGACTTGGATGGGAAAGGTGAGGGTCAAGGTTCAGGTCAGGTAGAAGAAGGGACATCGGAAACAGCTGTGAGTGTCTGGTCTGTGGTCAGAGCAGGTAAGATGAGGCTGAAAGGCCAAAAGGCCAAGCTGAAGCAAACTTCACCTTGGAATGAAGTATGAGGTGCTGATGCTTGCTGAGACAGGGTCAATAGGTCAAGAGGGCCCACACCACCAAAGTCCCACCATGATCCTTAAAAATAACACTGCCACTGGCTACTTCACGGGAGGTCCAGTCAACAGCCATCCCTAAGTCATATATACATTGAGTTTCAACTGTAGGCAGGATGTGGCCTCTCCTGAGACTCGTCTGCAAACCACCACCTGAACAGACAGATCCCAGGGCAAAAGAGACTTGGAGTTTTTCTTACAAAAAGTTGAAAGTAAAAGGATTAAAACTTTCAAAGCCTTGTCCACCTGGAGGACTCTGATATCATTGAGATCAGAACTCTGGCTGAGTTAGGTATTCAGAACAGGGGTCCCCGACAGCACACCGAAGGCTCATGGCATGACTCCTCAGGTCTCCCAAAGGTTGGCCCGCCTTGTGCCGCGAGCCCAGAACACACCCCTCTCCCAGGTCCCCGCAGAGGGAGGCTGCCTAGGGAGCAAAGCCTCGGGGCGTAGGCCCCCGGGTGGGGAGGGCCGGGTTCCCTGTCCGTGTCCCGGGAGCCCCACCCAGCCCGCCCCGGCAGGAATGTGGTCGAGCCACAGCTTGGCAGCCCCGGGGGCCACCACCTCGAAGGGAGGAGACCGCGGCTCGCCTCTCCCGGGGCTCCCGCGCCTCCCAGGCGATGACAATTTTCCAGCCACTGGCTCCAGCTGGCCAGGCTTTCTCGCTGCGCTCCCGCCCCGGCTCCCGGCTATAGCCACGCCGTCTCGACGGGCGGGTGGCTGCACCGACAACCGACTACGAGCGCTGGGGAGTCCTGGAGCGGGCTCCGGGTGGGCCAGCACGGGGAGAAGTCTGTGCACGAGGCAACTCACCGGGATGGCTGGGGTCGCTGCCGCGTCGGGCTCCAGCGTCCCCGGGACCGGAGCGCGTTCCCCACCGCCGCCCGCCGCGAGCCCCCAGTGGCTGGGGCTAGGGCTTGGGGGCAGCCCCGAGTCCGGGCTGTCCAGGACGCCGTCGCCTTTCTTCTTCGTGTCCACGAGCTCGGGGACATCCTGCAGGCTCAGCCGGCCCACCATGGCTGCGCGTTTGGCGTGGCCGGGGCACAGCCAGCTCGGCGTAGGAGTGCGAGAGAGGGCCGCACACGCGGGCCAGGGCTGCTGCCCTCCGGGCCGCCCTCCTTGCCCCGCCGCCGGCGCGTTGTCCGGGTGTCGCCGGCGGCCGCGCTCGCTCGAGGCCCCGCCTTCCGCCCCGCCCCGGGGGCCGACCCAGCGTGGTGACCGCCAAGAGGCCGTGCACCAGGGGCCGCTGCACTCCCGCCGCGCGCCGCCCAGAGTCTCCGCGCCCCGATCTTCCCGCGACGCCCCCTCCGCACCCCCCTACCGGCAACCGTGTCTCCCGCTGACAAGGCTGCCGGCCTCCGTACAGCCCCCCACCCTGTCTCTGAGGTGTGCGGGAATCCTTGCCCTGTCCCTCGGACCCCGGGAGGTGCTAATATCTCTAGATCTGGCAGCCCAGAGCCAGAGCCGAGTCCCAGCTTGCAGAGGCCTGGGGGGGGGGGGGGAAGGGGGACGAGCAAACAACTGGAAATTATTAATACTTAATGCGCCTCGTATGGCTCCGGCCGCCTGTTGGCTCAGCAGGGCCGGCTCTGGCTCTCACGTCTGCCCCGGAGGAGAGGCGGCCTACTCCTCCGGACTCCCGGGAGGCGTTGATCACTCCCTGGACGGGTGCTTAGCTGAACAGGCTGTGGCCAGGCCAGGCAGGAACGTCTAAGGGTGTCACAGGCTTGGATTTCCAAGAGAGACCAGCAAGCAAGCTGCCCAGCGGTTGGCTATCTTGGGGCCCAAGATCCCCTTATGGAGGCCGCATTTTTTTTTTTTTTTTCACTCACAGGAACTTTCCTTCCGTGCCATCTGAGGGGATCCCTTCTAAAAACAAGACAAAACCAAAACACAACAACAACAAAGCAGACTGTCCTTCCTGTTAGTTGACAGAGAAGACCCTTCTTTAGTGGGAACTAGTAGCACGGGGTGGAGTGGGGGCTGGGGGGCTGCCCAAATTCATTGCTTTTTTTCTCATCTCAATGTCCACGGTCACCACCGAGTACACACAGTACATACAGTCATCACACTTCCCTGACTGTGAATCGTGAGGCTGCTCTCTGAGATCCTGGAACCGTGACCTCCACCAGACCTACTGCGTGCCAGCTCTGAGCAAGTGTCACATACCCCACAGAGGACACCCCTGGCCCACCTTCGCAGGCCTGTCCACAACTCGGCAAAGACAAAGCCCATCTGTCCTGACGGTCTGACCTATAGTGGCTCAGTTCAGTCCTCCTTTCTCTCTCTGCCCATCATTTTCAGATAAGGAAACAGAGGGACTTGCCTTGCCTTCCAGTCACGTGGTAGGGAGAAGGCAGTTTGCTTTGAACCGGAAGCCAGCATCATCCCTTCTCCAGAGGATACATTCTGGAGCGGGCTGTATCAGGACGTTGTTCATTCGTTCAGGGCACGTGGGGAGAGGTTAGGATATCCACGGTGTATGGTGCCCGACAAGTGTCTACTGCAAGGACATGCTGTGCAGCCACACTTCCCCACTCCTGTTTTTCCCAACACCTGCACACCTCAGCAGTACTGTGCCCTGGCATTAGTGGAGGAATCCCTGTACTTTCCGAGGGTGTGGAAGGTGGGCTGGTCACATTGGGAAAGATGACCAGGAAGGTGGCAATCGCTCTAAGGAGATGGTAAGTCCGAAGAGCTCGAGAACGAGACCGAGAAAGCTCAGCATGCTAGGCCCCGACAACCACATTCCATCTCGGTGCCAATTGCTGTGGGGAGTTTGCCTGCTTTGGGACTTGCTGACTCCAGAGCTTGAGAAGCCACATTGCACCCTCTGAGCTGTACTCTGAACACTTGTTGTCTACGTTCTGTCAGAAGACTCGTGGAGACAGCAAAGCTGCCAGCATGAGAAAGAGAAGATGAAGCGTCCAGCCTTGGAGGGGTCAAGTGGATCCAGAGCACTCTTTTTGGTCCACATTCTCACTGGCACCAGAATCATCACCAGCAGCTGGCCCAGGATGTCACAGCAGCTTCTGGGCCCCAGGAGAAGCAGTCATCAAACTGGGCACAGGGAGTAGCTGGTTTACAACCTGACCACCAAGAACAACCTCTCCCAACTCTTTTAGACACAGACCAAACAGGGCATCCTCCTGCCTCTGGAGAACTACCAAGTAACTCTCAAAGCATAAGCTGAGTGACCCACCAGTCTGCAGTCTGTCCTTCCTCCTTCCCTCCCTCCCTCCCTCCCTTCACTCCCTCCCTCCCTCCCTTCACTCCCTCTCTCCCTCCCTTCCTTCTCTCCCTCTCTTCCCCCATCTCCAAAGCTGAGATAGGGTGAGGGCAGAGGTGCTCTTGGAAAGAGAGAGAGCCAAACCACTGGCTCAGCACCCCACCCCCAGAAGGGGACTTCCAGT